GGCCAATTCTTTGAGAAGTGGACAGCCTCTTCCTTCTTCCTAGTCTGTCTCAGTCTGTAAGCTGGGCTGATACCTGTGTACCATGTGTACCCTGCTGGGTTTGAAACACCAGTGGCTCAGCCTCAAGACTCACAACACATCATGACGGTAGGACATACCGACAGACAAGTTTGTCTCCCTGTTGGAAACCTCTCCTACCACCCTTTCCTGGGTCCCTGTGGTTGACTCTTCGCTCTGTCCTGGTCCCCAGGATCCGTAGAGATACTGCCTCGGAAACCCAAGGAGGGGTCGCTATGAGTTGGGACTGACTCAATGGCAGTGAGTTTGGTTTATCTTATGTTTTTGGGTGCTGTCAAGTCTATTCTGATTCATAGTGACTCCATGTGGCAAAGTAGAACTGTCCCATAGGATTTTCTTGGCTGTACACTTTATGGGAGCAGATCGTCAAGTATTTCTGCCATGGAGTCGCTGGGTGGGTTTGAGCCACCCACCTTTTGTTTTAGCAGCTGAGAGCTTAACTGTTGTGTTTATACTATTCTTTATAAACATTTCTTATGTGTAAGACTGTTCTCCCAATAAAGCTATAAAGTACTTGTTAGCTATCGCTATGTAATAAACCACCTTAAAATTCTGTAACTTAAAAGAACATTATTATTTTTTTAAACTTTGTTTCATTGTTAAGAATATATACAGCAAGACATACATCAATTCAAGTTTCTACATATACAATTTGATGACATTGACTACATTCTTTCAGTTGTGCAACTATTCTCACTCTCCTTTTCTGAGCTGATCTTCTCCATTAACATAAACTCACTGCCTCTAAGTTTTCTATGTGATCTTTCTAGTTGCTGTTGTCAGTTTGATCCTGTATAGATGGATCTTGAACATGCACAATGCTCAAGGCATGCATTCTTTACTAGTTAAGCTAACCTATTGTTTAGTTTTAAGAAGACATGAGGAGGTATTTTTGGTTTAACGTTTAGAGATTATCTGATGGCAATAGTTTCAGGGTTTCATCCAGCCTCCTTGGCTCCAGAAAGTCTAGAGTCCATGAGAATTTGAAATTCTGTTCTGCATTTTCTCCTTTTGATGAGGATTCTTCTATAAAATCTTTGATCAAAATATTCAGTTATGGTAGCTGGACACCATCTAGTTCTTTCATGGCAAAGGAGGAAGTTGTTCATGGAGGCAATTAGCCACACATTCCATACTCTCCTCCTAGTCTTCTTCTTTTTCTCTTTATTTATTATAAAGGCACATTTATTTATTATAAAGCTCATGTGCCTGGGAAGCTGGAGGTTAATCTCCCTGTCCTCTCTCATATTTTTGTGGGTCAGCTAGTGCTGTGTTCTGGGCTAGACTTAACTAGAGCAGAGTAGATGGCTGCTCTATCCACAACCCTAATCCTTTTCCAGAGACCAGTAGGCTAGCCCAGACATGTCCTTTTCATGGTGATAGCAGAAACACAGATGAGCAAGTGTGACTACACAGGATCTGTTGAGGTTCAGACTGGGAATTTCCACACCTCATTTCTGCCTCACACTGTTGGCCAAAGCAAATCACATGCCTGAGCTTAGAAACTGAGGATGGGAAATATCCAAAAAACTTTCACTCCCATTGAGTAAATTCTGAGCCATAGTGACCCTTTAGGGCAGAGTGGAATCACCCTGTAGAGTTTCCAAGCTATAAATGTTTATGGAAGCTGACTGCCTCACCTTTCTCCCGTGAAGTGGCTGGTGAGTTTGAGCTGCCAACTTTTTGGTTAGCAGCCAAATGCTTTAACCAGTGTACCACCATGGGAGGAACTACAAAGCTATATGACAAGAGGATGTGGATACAGGGAGGGATGGGGAATTGGGGTCTTTAATGCAGTTTACCACATACTCAAGGTCATGCTCTTCTTTGCTTCCTTCCAGCGCTTAGCCCTGTGTTGCACATAGATGTATCAGATATCTATTGCTGTGTAACTAACTACTCCCAAAACTTAGTGCCTTAAAGCATCAGCCATTTATTTGTGCATGATTCTGTGGTTGACTAGTGTATGAGAGTTCAAATTCTAAAGTACTTGGGGTTGTGGAAGGCTGTAGTCTACAGTGGGAGCCTTAATTCCACTTTGAAGCTTGACATAAGTCTCAGATGCCACTGGAGTTCTTTCCGAGCATTAAACCAACATTATGGCCTTGTATAAGGAGCTCTGGTGGTACAGTGCCTAAGGCAGTGCCAGAAGGTTGTCAGTTCAAGCCCACCAGCCATTCTGCAGAAAAAAGACTGGGCCATCTACCTCTGTAAAGATTTACTGCCTCAGAAACCCAATGGGGGTTGCTATGAGTCAAAATTGACTCAGTGACAGGGAGTTTTTTGTGTTAGTTTGCCATGTAAGTACAAGTTCTAGGACCAACCTAGGGAGGGGCAGTTTGCCTTCAGGAAGAGTATGGTTGACAGTAGATTATCCTCTCACAAAGAACCTCTTGTTTAAGAATGTCCTTTTCTAATTTAATTAAGGTTGGAGTCTTGGTATTGTTTGGTAGCTACCTTGTGTCTAAGACTCAGGCTGCTTGATCACGAGTCACAGCCTATCTGCACCACCACCTAGCCAGGTAGGTAGTCAAGGCCCAGAACCAATCCTGTAACCCTTTCCTATCTTCAGATTCCAGTCATGGTCTTTACCTTACTTCTGTAGTCCTGCCTGCAACAGTGACAATTCCAATTCTATCTACCACCAATCATGATTTTATAATGATTTGCCTTTTTTTTTTTTTAAAAATCATATGTAATTAGCCACATGGCCATAAGTCAAGGGACTCCATTCACCATTCTCAGGCTGATGGGTTTCCATCATCTAGGATGATTGTCTTTGTTTTGTCTTTGTTCTTTCCAACCCTAAATAAAAGTGTCTGTATTAAACCTGTTTGAATTTAGGTCTCTTTTCCCCTATTACACCAGGCAGGCTTTAACTGTGATGGCTCTTTGCTGCTCATTGTGATATCAGTGGACTTGCTCATGTGGTTGCCATTTGAACTGGAGGATTTAAGACAGCCTCATTCATGTTACTGGCTCCTTAGCTGGGATTAATGGAACATTAGGGCCTCTCTCTCTCCTCATGATCTTTAGGTTTCACAGGGCTTTTTCCATATAATCTTTTTATCAGAGTAGTTAGCCTTCTTTACATGGGGAGTTCAAGGTTCCAGGAGAATGCAATCAGCAGGCGAAGGCTTTGACGTCATAGATTTAGAAGTCCTTTGCCTGTATTCTGTTGGTTGAAACAAATTTTAGGGCTAGTTCAGTGGGGGGAGAAATAGACTCACGGCTTGATGGGAGATAAGCTGAATTTGCATTGTAAAAGTTTATGTGGGATGAGAACTGTTTTTGCATTTGTCTTTGGAAAGACTGCCACAGGGGATAAGCTCAGTGAATCTTTGCTGAATGAACCTTGAACAAATGGGTAGCCCAGAGCAAGGGGAAGGCTCTGTTTTGGATTCTGATGCAATAAAAACAACCATATCTCTACTTTCTAGTTATCTTCATATTTGTCTAAGACCTCAAAGAATGATTTTCCCCAAATCCGTTGGCACCAGACAGCAGACTTTGGTTATGTCCCCAATGCAAGGATGCCTAACACCTTCATGGCTGTCGCTATGGATCTTTGTGATAGAAATTCACCTTTTGGCAGGTATGGTTGCTTCTTGGGCTTTGCTTAAGCAATGTATGTTCCTGATCTTTAGTTCCTCACTGATATTTACTTGTGAGGGGGCAGAGAGCAGGTAGTGTAAGGATTGGCATATGAAGAAGCATTATATATAGAGCAGTCATTTATGCTAGGATGTGCTGCAGTAACAAAAACCCAGCAACATCTCAGTGGCTTGATGCAATAAAAATTTATTTCTTGCTCACACTACATGTTAAAGAGCAATAATGAGGCTTATCTCTTTTTAGTCATTCACATACCCAGGGCGACAGAGGTTCCAAGTTCATCTGTGCTTCTGTGGTCACCTTAAAGTCTCCTGCTGTCAATTAAATGCTTCCGCCTAGAAGCAACACAAGTCACTTCTCACACTGCATTGGCCAAAGCTAGTCATATGCCCATGCCATGCTTCAGTGAGACCAGTAAGTGGAATTCTACTGTATACTCAGAAGAGTATAGTCCCACAAAATGGAATATTTGTGAATAGTCCTGAGGAGTAACATACACTTGATGTAGAATAAGAGGGAATTTCAAATATAGAGTGGAGTCCAACACATAGTGTCTGTATTGTGTTGTTGTTGTTATGTGCCATCAAGTCAGACCCGACTCATAGTGTCACCTTCTTGGGTTTCCGAGGCAGTATCATTAAGGGAGTAGATTGCCCAACCTTCTTTCTAAGGAGTGGCTGGTGGCTTTGAACAGCCATACTTCTGGGTAGCAGTCAGATGTCTTAGGCACTACGCTACCAGACCACCCTGTATTGTTGTTGTTATGTGCTGTCCAGTCGGACCCGACTCAGAGACCCCTCCTTGGGTTTCTGAGGCAGTATCACTATGGAAGTAGGTTGCCCCATCTTCCTTCTGAGGAGTGGCTAGTGGGTTTGAACCGCCAGCCTTCTGGTTAGCAGTCAAGTGCCTTAGGCACTAAGCTACCAGAGCTCCTCCTTGTATTGTAGTAGGAGCTTAATAACATTTATTGAATGAGTAAATAAAACTAGGAGGGGACCAAATCTTGAACAGCTGATTCAGATGAAACACATGACTTTTAGCAATTGGAATAGTCTTGAGTTAACTCTCCTACGTTAATACTTTTTCACTCTTTCTTCCCTCCCTCCCTCATTTTCCTTCTTTCCAATTCATCTAGGATCTCAAGATTTCCAACCCAGAGCCCCATCTAGTTACCATTTATCGTATCTCTTAATTAACCCCTGATCACTGGCTATTAGGTTTAAAAAAACTCATTGCCGTAGAGTTGATTCTGACTCACAGTGTCTCTATTGGACACAGTAGAACTGCTCCATAGTGTTTCCAGTCTTTATGGAAGCAGACTACCACGTCTTTCTCCCCTGGAGCGTCTGGTGGGTTCCAAGCACTGACCTTTTGCTTAGCAGCCAAATGCTTGACCATTGTGTCATCTCTTTATTTTCACCTTCTTAATGGGTCTCTTGTATGTATGTATTTTTTTTTTTTTTTTTCAGTATAGTTATTGTGAGCTCAGGAGCTCTGGTGGCATAGTGCCTGAAACATTTGACTGCTGGCCAGAAGGCTGGTGGTTCAAACCCACCAGACTCCTCAGAAGGAAGGTTGGGCAATCTGCTTCCGTAAAGATACCGTCTCAGAAACCCAAGGAGGGGTCGCTATTAGTTGGATCCGACTCAACAGCAGTGTGTTTGGTTTGGTTTATTGTGATCTCAAACCTAAAGTTCTTCACTTGTTCTTTATGCTATAGCATTCACCCTCGAGATAAACAAACTGTGGCCTATAGGCTGCATTTGGGGGCCCGTGCCGTGGCTTATGGTGAGAAGAATTTGACTTTCCAAGGACCATTACCTGAGAAGATTGAACTCTTGGTCAGTGAAGGGCTGCTCAACCTCACATACTACCAGAAAATCCAAGTCCAGAGGCAGGACAACAAGATATTTGAGGTAAGAACAGTAGCACAGAAAATACAAGTTCATTCTGCGTTGGAAGCCAGGATTTCTTCTAAACTGGGGCTTACCTCTTCCATTATTATCATTACCACAAGTCAGTTCTTGGTTGGTGGGAGACAGCTTTTCTCAGAGGGAGAAATAAACAACTATTATTTAGCTTAGAGGCAATTTTGATAGTCATGGTAGTTAAGGGAAGGAAAATGAGCCCATATTAAAAATAATATTCCTTGTATATTTTATCCCCAGAGCAACCCTCTTTGCTCTGGGAAAGGCCTATACCTTTATTGGTAAGTTCCCAGTTGAAAGGATCCTTGCTGCAGAGTATTTCCTAATCCTTAGGTGTCTTTTCTGGTGGCATAGTGCCTAAGGCATTTGACTGCTAACAAGAAGGCTGGCGGTTTCAAACCCACCAGCCACTCCTCAGAAGGAAGATTGGGCAATCTACTTCCATAGAGATACCACCTCGGAAACCTAAGGAGGGGTCACTATGAGTCGGGACCTATATAACGACAGTGAGTGAGTGAGATCCTAAATGCTGATATTGTTTTGAGTTTAGTATCTTCTTTGAGAGGATTCAGTTGGTGATTTGTTTGAATTAATGAAATAAGACTGCTTTCTTCCAATACCAGCAGGGATCTTTCCACTGTGGGCCTGGAGCTATTGATTAAAGAAGTTATTTAGAAGTCTTCTATAATTTAGGGTGTGGGGTCAGGGCATTCCTAGATGGAGCACTTACATGAGTGTATTTGGGTATCCTGACACCATTAGGATGGAGGGTGAAGAGGGGCATAGGAGGAGATCAAAGAACATTAAAGAAAAATTTTCCTTATATAGGAGTTTATCTAGTGCTTTTCCTCTTTGGTATCCTAACTACAGTTATCTGCTTCATTCAGATGCTTAATCAGGGCTTAACTTCTTTTGATACTTGGCATTCAGTGAATTTGAGCTTCTGAGAAGTCTTTGCATTTTGGGTTCTTTTTAGACAGTTGCTGGCAGTTTCTTCATCTGAATCAGGAATCATAATTGGGATCAGGGTAGAATTTAACCTTTGGATGCTGGATAATTTCTGTCTACTTCACTGGAGTGCCTTGTGACTTGTGTGAAGCTTATTACCCACAGTTCCCTCATGCCCCTTCTTCATTCCTCAGCTCCTTTGGAAGTGCTACAGAGGAGTAGCAGTAGCTGTACTGCTGGGCTCACTCAGGTTGCTGCCTACTTTGCCATTTGGTGGGAGGGATCACAGGAAGCATGCTCAGGGGAGGCTTGCATAAATGGTTTATGTAACTGTGTTTCCTTGTCTCCCCTGTAAGTTAATGTTTTATTTATTGATTTGAATTATTTATTTAATCACATGAAGATTTATAATCAACCTGTGACTGTGTTGACCAGACCAATCCTGGATTCAGGTATGTTCTGGTCACTGTGGGAAATGGATCCTTAGCTAAGAATGCACCTCCTCTCCATTCTAGTCTCTCTGAAAGAGCAGTTCCTAGTCTATTGGAACACCCTTCCAACTGTGCTGACCACTCCTCTTTTATGACTCTCTTACTAGATCTCATGTTGCACTGACCATCAATGCAAGTGGCTCCCAGCTCCCATGAGCACTTTCTCCACCTGGACCCTGGCCCTGAATATAAATTCTTGTCTTGGCACTGTAGTTGCTCTCCGCTATGCCTGGACCACATGGCCTTGTGAATATAAGCAGTGCCCTATATATCACCCCAGCAGTACCCTGCCAGCTCCTCCTTTCATTGCAAACAAGATTTCTGGACATCACAGGAAGGATGTCAAATGATCTAGTAATATGATCAGATCCTGGAAATAAAGGTGAGTCCTTTGGATTTGGGCATTTAGCAGTTTCAATGATGACAACTCTTGCTTAAGTATATTAATAGACAAGCCTCACTGGATAGCTCTCAGTCAGAGCTGTAGCTGCTGTCAAGTCAGCCCTGACTCAATAAAATGCTGTTTGGTCCTGTGTTATCCCAATGATCAGTTATGAATTGTTGTTGTTATGTACCATCGAGTCAGACCCGACTCATAGCAACCCCTCCTTGGGTTTCCAAGGCGGTATTGCTACAGAAGTAGATTGCCCAATCTTCCTTCCGAGGAGTGACTGGTGGGTTTGAACCGCTAGCCTTCTGGTTAGCAGTCAAGTGGCTTAGGCACTACGCTACCAGAGTTCCCTAGTTATGTATTAGACCCTTGTAATTCATAGGTTTTTTAATGGCTGATATTTTGGAAGTAGACCCTGGTCTTTCTTCTTACTCTGTCTTAGTCTCGAAGCTCTGCTGAAACCTGTTCAGCATCATAGCAACATGCAAATCTCCACTGAGAGAGGGTCAGTGGCTGTGCATGAGGTGCATTGGCCAGGAACTGAACCCTGGCTGCATGGAAGATGAGAATTCTACCACTGAACCAGCAGAAATGCTTGCTTCATGTTCTCCAATTAGTCTGGAAGTTGTACTGGGCTAATTCTGGACTATAACAAATTTGATCTCAATGTCATTCACTTCCCTCATATCATTGGGAGTGAAATGTCTAAAATTTTTGCCTCCTTTCACCTCGAACTGTGGAATCTCAGATTTGGGAGAGATTTTAAAGACCATCTATATCAGCTAGTGTTTGTGATCTTTACAAAAATCTCTGACAAGTTTAGACATTTCCATTCCAAACTTAACAGTTTTTCCTTATGTAGAACTGAAATTGTGCTTCCATGAAACACAGTGGTCTTTCAGATAATTGAAGACAGCCCTATTTGTGTTTGCTAAACTAAAAACAGTCCCATTCCTTCAGTGTAAATAATGATAATATGAATGTTTAAAACCAACCATCCAACTGGGAGAAAGCAGACAGATTGGGAGATAGTAAGGGATGCTGTTATGGATTGAACTGTGTCCCCAAAAATATGTGTCAACTTGGCTGGGCCATGATTCTCAGTATTACATAATTATTCTCCATTTTGTGATCTGATGTAATTATCCTCTGCATTGTCAGTTCTAACCTCTATGATGTTAATGAGGCAGGATACAACCTACAGGATGAGTGGAGTATGTCCTTCGGACCCAGGATCTCTGCACTAGGAACCTGCTAGATGCAGGGGAAGATTGATTTCAGGACACTTGGAGATCTCCAATGAACGTCAGGCCCACAGATGCTGAGACAAGGACCTTCCTGCTAAAGAACAGAGAAAGGCTTTCCCTAGAACTGGTGCCCTGAATTCAGACTTCTAGCTTTCTAAACTGTGTGAGAATAAATAAGTTTGTGAAAGCCATCCACTTATGTTATTTTTGTTACGGTAACACTGGATAACTAAGACAGATGCCTTAAGGAATAAAGAGAACGGGCAGGTGGTAGTTGTCCAGTGATGGCATTCAGGCTGCCAGTAACAGGAGGGGCGAGGGAATGAAAGTAGAATTTGCTAGAATTAAATATAAATTTCAGGCTCTTTAAAGGTAAGTGTTGTAACTATAAAAAGCATAATCATCCAGATGGAAGAAACAAAAGGCTGAAAGTTAAGCTGCAGAAGCATTTAGAAAAATTATTCAGAGGAGATAAATGTGGAGGCATTTTTTGTGTTCCATTAAGAATTATATGCTGTTTATTGGTTGATTGAAAAAAACAGCTAATGGCATTTGATAATTGTGTTATCAGTTGGAAACTGGAAATAAAAACACAATCTTTAGTGCTGTGCATATATTTGTATCAAGTCAAAATCAGGTTGGGAATGGGCTTGTAAATTGTTCTCTGAAGCATGAGAAATAAGAATGTTATCTGTGGGTAGCTTTTGTCCTCTTGATGTGAAAAAAATGAGAACGAAACAATAAGCATCATCCTTTCCACATCTGTCTTCCAAGGGGGTACTCGTGTAACTCCAAACACTAGGAATAGCTTTGTCAGTGCTAAGGTTTTATTTATTGAAACAACTACAACTCTAGTCCTCCAAAAGTTATGGCTCCTTTGAGAACTTCGTAGTGTATGTTGTTGTTGTTGTTAAGTGCTGTCGAGTCGTTTCCAACTCATAGTGATCCCATGCACAGCAGAAGGAAACACTGCCCGATCCTGCGCCAGCCCCACAATCCCTGCTGTACTTGAGCCCATCATCGCAGCCACCGTATCAATCCATCTCCTTGAAGGCCTCCCCCTCTTTCGTCGACCCTCCACCCTGCCGAGCATGACATCCTTCTCCAGGGAATGGTCCCTTCT